ATTTTTGGAACCATAATTACCCAACAGGTTTGCATTGTAAATTAAATGAAATAAACCCTATAATTAATAACTACTGCTAATGTTATAGGGAAAGTAGTAATATGTGCAAAATGTGTCTCCTATGCTGTAAAATGCTAATTGTTTTAAGATAACGTAATTGGCAGAAGACTTGGCTAGAAATCTAACATTGCCTTTCTAAATTTGCTGACCATATGGTAGATGTCCCCTGAAGAAATATCTTAACTGTACTTTCAGTTTTAAAGAAGGAAATGCACTTTGACATACTGTGATAAGCACGAAAAGCTTCTTACTAATTGCTTTTTTTCCCCTTTTCTCTAGATATTGAGAAACTTTGTACCTTTAGTCAGAGGTTCCCTCTCCCGCCCATGAACCGTGCATTGGTACGGGAGGTGCTTCTAGGTATGAGACTCAAAAGTTGAAAGATTTATTTTCAAAAATGTTGAATAACAGGATTATCATTTGCCATTGGACAGATGACAGTCAGAAAAAGTTTTAGGTCCTTTGCTGAATATTGGGTCTTCCTTAGGAAACTCACTTACTGCTCATGATAAAAGACTTAAGAAGGTGACTTCAGCCGCGGTTGCACTGTTCTGTTTTAACAACCCGGACAGGTTCAGCATAGCAAGCATTCAATAGATATTTGCTGGACCGACCTTTAGATGCTGCAGTATGTGTTCTAGTGGGAAAGAGCTCAATGACTTTGCTATAACTCTAGGGTGCTTTTAAGTATTTTGAGATGCCTAATACTTGCTTTTTATGTGGGAAATGCTTACAAATGTCTTACCAGGATAAGTTTTTGTTCCCAAATTTACCATGAATAGATATTTTGCAAAATACAGTGACCAAAGCATATATACTTCAATTTTGTAGCAAAGCTTTTCATGAGAGCAACAAGAGTCAACTATCTTAGTAACAATTATAGAATCTGCCCCTTAAAAAAATGATTCAGCATTGTTTTATCATTTTGCAAAGACAGCTCAAATTTATTACAGGCAATAAAGACAAAAAAATACTGACAGTAAATTCCTTTTGAAACTGCTTTTCACATTTGATTCCCTTAAAGTTTAGTTGCCTATTAGAGCTTTTCCCAGGACAGTAACCACCTCCCAATACACAGGGCTTTTTTTCCATTTACTTAAAGGTGGTCATGTATTTTAAGGCATAAGAACAGTTTATTTATTTACTTATATGTTGGAGTCTTTCTCTGTCACCCAGGCTGGAGTGCAGTGGCATGATCATGGCTATCAGTCTCAGCCTCCTGGGCTCAGCTGATCCTTCTGCCTCAGTTTCTCGAGTAGTTGGGGTTACAGGAACGCACCACCTGCCTGGATAGTTTTTTGATTGAGACAGGATCTCGCTATGTTGCCCAGGCTGGTCTCAAACACCTGGGCTCAAGCAATCCCTTTTCTGGGGGGGGGTCCACAGAGGAGCTAAATATTTGCTATCTATTCTCTCTCAGGGCTGTTGCCTATGAGGTTTTGACTACACATCAAGAAACTCCCTCTCCACGTCCTGCACCTTTATCTCCACGGCAGCAATTCCTTTAGTGATTTCAAAGTTCCTTAGACAGAAGAATCCCTGAATCCACCTATGATGCGCAAGGCCCCACCTGGAGATGTCCCATCGTCCAGCCAGAACAATGTAAGCTTCACATGTATTGATTCACGGTTTTTGTGACGGCCATCTTCCTAAGATGTAGACATGGGGGACCCCAAAAAGCCCCGAATTTCTTTATTAAAAAATTGGTTTATTCTTGCATGTTTAAACTTGTCACCTTCAAAGCAATCTCCGTTTGATGCAATACACCTATTGAGATGCTTTTTCCCCTGCTCAAAACAGTTTCTGAACGCATCGATTCTGATGCCTTTTAGTGCTTCTGCCGTTTTTTGTCTCACTCTTCCACATTAGCAAAATGTTTGGAAACATCACACAGTTGCTCTGGGCGAGAGCAGGCGAACAGGGAGGGGGGAGCATGTGGGTCATTGTGTCTTGGGTCGAAAACTGCCGAACACTCAGCATAACGTGGGCAGGTGTGCGAAGACAGCACCGATCATGAAATGGGCAACTGCCTTGAAAGAATCTCCAAGCCGGGCTCGGTGCCTCAGCCTGTCATCCCGTGCCTTTGGGAGGCTGAGGTGAGTTGACTGCCTGAGCCCGCGGGTTCGAGACCCGCCTGGGCGGTGAGACCTCATCTCTGCAATAAATCAAGAAATCAGCCGGGTGTGGTGGTGCCTGCCTGTGATTCCGGCTACTCGGAAGGCTGAGGCAGAAGGCTCGCCGGAGCCCAGCAGGCCGAGGCTGCGGTGGCCGGATGCGGCCACTGCGCTCCAGTCTGGGCGACCGAGTGAGACTCCAACTCAAAAACAAAAACAAAAACAAGAATCTCCAAAGAAAAAAAATCCACTGAAGCTGAACACAGCCTGTCACAACACTGGCAGCTGGTACCCTGAGGCCCACGGCTTCCCAGAACACTCACCTAGCCTGGACTACAAGGGGCCTGACTTTGGAAAGTGACTCTGGTTTGTTTTTGGGCCCCCGTCATACAACCAAGCTGCAACTCAACCTCGGGCACCTCAGGACCTCGTGGGATGGTGTCATGGGCCTAAGGTCACCCACATCTGGCTCAGAATAAACCATCTTAATTCTTTGCAGAGTTTGGCATCTTTCGCTAACAATTGTAACACATATTTTATCCGCTTTGAAAAGTACACGACTTGGGATGAGCCACCTGTAAAGCATAATTCCAAATGTATCAGCATGAAAAATGTTCTAGAGGATGTCCTGCGTCTCTTCCAGAATTCTATTACTCTGGAAGATGAACAGCTTTCTTACTGCATACTTTATAAATGGGTGGAAAACAGAAAAATTCTATGAATTTAAAGTGTCAGTCTTGTTAATAAAGTGAAATAGGTTTTCAAAAAGAAAGTGGGAAAGATAAAATTAACACATCGGTTTTAAGGTTATTTCTTTTTTCCTTTGGAGGGGAGTCTCACTCCGTTGCCCAGGCTGGAGTGCTGTGGCAGGTTCATGGCTACCCCAGTGTCAACCCACTGGGCTCTGGGAATCCTTCCACTTCAGTCTTCCAAGTAGCTGGAACTACAGGCGCGCACTACCACGCCAGCTAATTTTTGATTTATTGTGGAGATGAGGTCTCGCCAAGTTGCCCGGGCTGGTCTTGAACCCCGCGCGCTCAGGCAATCCACTCGCCTCTGCTTCCCAAAGTGCCGGGATGACAGATTGAGGCACCAAGCCCGGCCTTAAGGTTATTTCTAATATTAACTTTTCCTAATGAAACCACTATATCGCCATTTGCTTGGTTTAAACGCCGTAACTTTAGCTTTAAGTGAACACGAGAGTGTTGTGCCTGTCCAACACTGAACTTCAATCCACACCTTAGTAAAAGACTTTCCATTCGGAACGCAGGCACACGCACGTTCATTCAGCGGGTCATAGCATCTGTTGCTCTGGGATCATCATGGACAGCTTAGGGTGGCAAATGTTTTCGTTAGGTATTTATGGGGCTGGTGGAGCGGGGCACAGCCAACGAGAAGTGGCAGTTAAGAGTAAAGGGAAGCTGCTGCCCGGCAGGGGCGCTTCCGTGGGGAGGGCCAAGCCCTCAGCCTCAAGGAAGGATGGCCTGTCCCGAGACAGGAGCCCCCTCCAGCTGAGTGACAAGCACAGCAGAGAAACGAGTCACAAGAAACAAGCCGTGGTAAAAAAAACAAAACAAAAAAGGGTTGGGCCACAACTCCCCTGGAGGTCCAGGCAAACAGTAGGGCGGGTCTGGGGCTGAGTGCACTGGCAGGACAGCAGGCCAAGCAAGGCCCAGGGACACAGGGAGAGCAGGCCAGGGCCGGGCCGCCCCCGTGACAGAGATCAGGACCAGGCTGGCCCCCCACGACTGCTGGCCCAGGCAAGCCCCCAGTGACGGCAGGGTTCAGACCCCCCTGCACTCACCAGGTCAGGCTCAGGGAAGCCGCCAGCGACAGAGGTCAGGACGGGGCTGGCTCCCAGCCATAGCACGCCCAGGTC